GGTTTCGCTCATGACATCATTGAGGTGCTCAAGCTCCAGCGCCCCGACAAGGCGGTGATCCTTTGCTGTGATCCTTTGCTGTGTTTGCATATACCCGCATAATTGTTTTGTTTTAATCTACTGATGTAAACCGCTCCAAACCAAATTGGGAGTGGCGGTATACAAGTTTAAATAAATAAATAAATAATAAGGTATTTTGTAGGTGAGACCAAAGTCTAAATACGAAATTCATTTATGCTTCATAAACTCAGTATACATGTAGTCTGAAGATACTTTATGCAATAATTTTAGTAATTTTGTGCATGAGACAGCTTGTGTACATCAGAAAAGTATCACTGTCTCGACCACCCAGATGGACTTTTTTGGACTTTGGAATATTTTGGAATTCTGGATAAGGGATGCTCAACCTGTACCCATCATGTTGTAGCTTTAAACTCTTATTTGGAAAAGAATTGCCATTTTATTTTCAAAATTGTACTATTTAGATATGTAAATTTTGTGATTGAGACATAGTTGCAGAAGCAGCTCTGATATAATACTGTATAAAGAAAGATTATGTATACTCAGAACCCGTGTGGTATAGAAGTTTGGATGTTGGACAAGGAGACCAGAGTATAAAACTCACTCTGACTCACTTTTATATAATTGTTTAGATTGAGTGCAAGGGCCCTTACATGATTTTATGAACAATACAAGTAATGGATTGTACTTTGTCCTCCTCCCTACTGTATGGATGAACATACATTTAATATTTTAAATCACAACATGGTCAGTGAAAACATAGTTTTAGAAAAGCATGACCTTTTAGAGATCATAACCTTTTAGAGAAGAGTAGAATCTTCTCAAGTGGTATAGAACCAAATATAATTATGCAAGGCAATTAACTTCAGTTGTTAGACTGAATGACCTGTTGTCTCTGATCTGGTAGGAAACAGAGAATATGCCAGTGCATAAAAAATAGCAGTTCTTCAGGAGTATTTTTTCAGTGCCCAAAAATATATCTACTCTCCCATGAAAACAACTTGTTTATATTATGCACTCAATAGACAAAATAAAGCAGACTTTGGAAAAAAAATAACATTTGTTTTAGTCACAACCTTCATGTGCTCAGCATACACAGGTACACAACTTATCAGTCAGTTACAGATATGTTTGAGATAGTTTCTGTGCCATCCAGTCACAAGATCTCTCTTAGAGTAAACATCAGGCAAATGTTTGCAAGTCTGTGATCTGAGCAATCCAAAGTCAAAAGAGGTCTGTGTTCATCTCAGAGTGGATCACGTGGTTTGCAGCCCATCCCACAACTTCTCAGGAAAAACAGAGCAAGGAAAGCTGCATACAGAACATACAAAGTAAGCAACAGGATTATAGATAAAGAAATCAGTAGAGGAGGCTTTAAGAAGGTTGTAATTTCTAAGACATAGAAATTGTCCCAGTGTAGCAAACGAAAAACCTTTCAGGTCTGTTAAGTGGCCAGTTTGATGCTTCTGAAAGGGCTGCAAGTATGTTCAGAGACATCATTTTGTGTATGGTTTCTACATTTCTTTATAGGTTTAACAAACATTGCGAGCCTTCACTGTGCCAGGAATTTGCAAGAAATGAGGATTCTGAAGAAACAGAAGCAAGTCATTGGCCCACAGCCAGGCACCCTCTACCTCATGAAAATATGTGCTACATCTTGCAGAATCCCCCTAAAAACAGCGGTGGATGAGAAATGTCCCGGTTCTTATTTTAGTGAACAGGTACCTGTAATAATGTGGGCAAGTTTCAAAATTATGTTTTATATTAATTGGCTGGTATTTGAACAAGCTTTTTGCTTGTGCACACAATGCCTTTGTGGGGTAAGCAGCACACTTAATTCACCAAAAGGAGGAATGAACATACCCAAGACTTGATATGGTTTGTTCCTATAAAGGTCCTGTTAGGGCAAATATCTCATTGGCACCTCAATACTCTGCCTACTTTGATTTAGACCAGTCCTGCCCAAAATGGTGGTTCAGTGCCAGTTTATGAGCTGGCACTCTTGAGCTGTCATATTTTCCTGACATGGTAATGCTCCAAAGGAGGCATTAGGGTTTATTTTCAAGGAATGTAATTTTTTCATGTACAACAAAATATAATTTGTAATAAATTTGTATAGGTGTGGACATGTTCTAACACTAAAATATTGCTTTTGCAGTTGTATGCATTTGGTGTTTCCAAGCAGTGCCTAAATGTTAACAGCAGCAACGCAGAACATTTTCAGTTTCTTGTCCAGGATTTTTTTGGTAGAGAGTGTTTCCTAGACGGAAATGGAATACAATTGGCTGATGGAGGATATCTTATTCCCAATGATGATGGAAAAGCAGGAAAAGAAGAATTCTACAGGTATCTTGTTGTAAAAATTGAATATTTAATTATGCCTGTTTACCTAACAGAGTTTGGAAGCATGGTTTTAAACCTTGCAGCCATCAGCCTCTCATTGAATCTTTGAATGCTGAAAGAAAGTTGTTTATGAACTGGGTCCTTGGCAATTTTTAATAGTCTTCCCAACTACGGCATAGAGTTATGGTAATTACCATTTTAATGGTAGATCTTTTGTCAGTGAAAAGTTATTTCCAAATAATTGATAAATATTCTGATAATTTTGCACAGGGCATTGTGTGACACTCCTGGTGTAGATCCAAAGCTGATTTCCAAAGCCTGGGTTTACAACCATTACAAGTGGATCATATGGAAACTCGCAGCCATGGAAGTTGCTTTTCCCCAGGAATTTGCCAGCAAATGTTTGACACCAGAAAGAGTACTACTTCAGCTAAAATTCAGGTAATATTACAGAATAAGCTTTCAAGTGTGACTGTATCATTGATTCTGCAACTGATTTATTGCTGTTTTTGATTAATTAGGATTTTGCGTTTGCTTTTGTTTTAATTTTGTATCTGCAAGTAAATTGCTAACTTCCACTACGTACATTTGTTCCTTCCAAAGTTGAACAATTGCTTTAGCAAGAAGCCTCCTATGATATCACATTCTTTCCTGACATCCATTTTGAAGTTATTGTACTTTTTTTTTCTTTTGAAAGGTATGATGTGGAAGTTGACAAAAGTTGTCGATCAGCTATCAAAAGAATCACTGAAAGAGATGATGTTGCTGCCAAAACCCTTGTCTTGTGCATTTCAAGAATCATATCATTAAACTCAAACGTATCTTGCACCTTTGGCAATAAAAGCATCACTGAGGAAAACAAAAATGACATGGCCGTGGTTGAGGTTACAGATGGCTGGTATGGGATCAGGGCTGTTTTAGACCCCTCTCTTCAATCATTATTGCATAAACAGAAGTTGACTGTAGGCCAGAAGATTGTCGTACATGGAGCAGAACTTGTGGGGCCTCAGGATGCATGCTCTCCACTGGACGTGCCAGAATCCCTCATGCTAAAGGTACAATTATAAAATATTTTTGAGTTCAGTAATTAAAGTTCAAGCATTTATTATGTATTTCAGGGATGCCTAGGTTAGATATTTTGTAATGATATTAGAAGTAGTCATTGATTTTATAAATGGCCCCATTAGAAAGTGCATAAAGATGTGGGTAAACTACAACTCTCATCATCATCCTCTGTCATTGCCCCAAACTGAATCAGTAAAGTTGGTCATGATGGATATGTGTGCCAAGTTTGGACCAGATCCATCATGAATTGGGTTCAGAGTCCTCTTTGATTGTGTGTGAACTACAACTTCCAACATCCTGGGTGAGTTCCCCCCCCCCCCCAGCCCTTCAGTACTTTCTGTTGGTCATGGTGGGTATGTGTGTCAAGTTTGGTCCAGATCCATCAAGCTTCTAGGAGCCATCCCCATACATGCATACATACATACAAACATTTTCTCCATTTTATTGTATACATAGGAAGGATAAAATAGATAAAGAGAACATTGGTATATTGCAGGCATGGGCAAACTCCGGCCCTCCAGGTATTTTGGACTTCAACTTCCACAATTTCCTATCAGCTGTTAGGAATTGTGGGAGTTGAAGTCCAAAGTACCTGGAGGGTTGAAATTTGCCCATGCCTGGTATATTGTCTTGAAAGAGGTGGCACCTTGATGTTGTGTTTTCCATTAATTAATTAATTAAAGATAATTTATTACATTTCCATTTCATTTCATTACAAAATACAATCTCTAAAACTCATATATTTATTTCTTTTAATTTCTCCATCTTTGTGTTTTCCATTTATTCTTTGCTTTGGCCTGTTTGTATTTGCCTAAGGGCTGAACTTCGGCTTTTTCCCTTCTTTTTAAACATTTTATACAACATAAATACATTATACTGTCTGCCACTACATGAAGTTATCCTGATAAGTTTGCACACAGTGTCAATACAGTTATAAAATAAGTATTAAATACTTTCCATGATTCAGTTGTAGTGTTTACCCTTGTGTACTTAAGAGACTTCAGTCAAACTGTCTTTGCTTCTAGAATTGTGTGGTAGATGCTTTTACCTTGTGTGTATTTGCATAAAAACAATCTACAGCGCCTGTGAGGCAATTTTTGCCATCTTTACAAAGGGCCTTCTACACAGCCAGATAACCCAGAATAAAAGGCAGAAATCCCACAATATCTGCTTTGAACTGAGTTATTGGAGTCCACACTGCCATATATTCCTATTCAAAGCAGATAATGTGGGATTTTATTCAGCAGTATGGAAGGTGGCTTAGAGATTTTGTATCGTTTTAGATTTCAGGGAACAGTACTCGACGTGCACGATGGTATTCCACGTTAGGATATTATCGGGATCCCCGTCCGTTTACGTTGCCTTTGTCATCACTCTTCAGTGATGGTGGGATTGTTGGCTGCATTGATGTTGTTGTTCAAAGGATTTACCCTACACAGGTAAAGTATGTTCAGATTCACATTCAGTCACCTTCCGCTAATAATTACAGTTAATTGTCAATGAATATTTATTGCAGTGGATGGAAAAAACATCAACAGGGTCCTATATGTTTCGCAACTGTCGAGCTGAAGAAAGAGAAGCTGCAAAGCATACTGAGAACAAACAGAAGACTCTAGAAGCATTGCTTGCAAAAATACAAGCTGAATTTGAAAAGAATGAAGGTAAAGTATAAATGTAACGCCTTCAGTTGTTTTTGGAACGTTTCTCATAGTCTCTACTGCCATTTATTGCTGAAAAGAGTATGTATACTCCCATCCTGTGACCACACTTTTACTTAAAATAACAGTATCCTTAGTTATAGGTCTGGCCTTTGCTTTGTGGGAATCTGTATTAAATAAAGTTATTTCTGATTCACTGTGTAACAAAATTTGGGGGAAAAAATTATGTTCCTAGTTTGAAAGTATTATTTTATGTTTAATTGTATGGTAATTACTTTGAAAGTGGATGTTATACTCCAGAAACTTTGTTTTTGTGTCTGTCATAAACTATGTTGAATTGGTTGAGACACTATGAGATATTCACTGAAAAACTGGATTTTTGCAGTTTAATAAACCCCTTTTCATGTTTTTATGATAGAACTAATTAGGAAATGACATTTATAACCCAGGAACAAAAATCGTGTTCCATAGTATTATTGTATCCCACGTATTATTGTATCCTTTGCTTGGGTTACATTGCCTAAGTTGGATAAATCAAGTGGGTAAAGCAGCCATTGTGCAAGAGACATTGCAAATCTTGGTTAATGATCAGAAATAACCAGCCACAGTACAAATGGCAGAATTCAGGCCAAGTATCATTCCATTTAGGGCCAGCTTTAGCACAGCAGGTAAACCTGCAGCTGCAGTAGATCTTGCCAATTTGAAACCGGGTCAAGGTGAGCTCCTGACCTTCAGCCCAGCTCCCTGCCCACCTAGTGGATCGAAAACAGCAATGTGAGTAGGTAAATAGGAACCACATTAAGCAGGGAAGTATTTTAGGCACCGCGTTTTGGCGGAAAGTTTACGAACAAAGAAAGTTCTTTGGCAAGTAAATGGAGCAACAGCACCCCGTGTGGCCAGAACTGAGCACAGCCTTCAAAAGATACTGAATGATGAGGAAAAGCTTATATATACTTCTGTCTGTTGTCTGTTTTGTCATTGTGTAAATGGCATTGAATGTTTGCTGTATATGTGTTTTGTGATCCACCCTGAGTCCCTATCAGGGTGAGAAGGGTGGAATATAAGTACTGTAAATAAATAAATAAATAAAATTCATAGCGAGAGCGGTAATTATGTAATTGCCATGGATTTTATACTGTTAATGAATTCCTCAGACACCTTTAAAAATGGGGTGGCTTATAAACTGAAACACATTTCTTAAAAACAGGTGAAGGCAAAAGAGTGCTGCGATCCCGCACATTAACCCGGCAACAGATTCGCTCCCTGCAAGATGGGGCAGAGCTTTACGAGGCCGTTCTTAATGCTGCTGATCCTGCTTACATGGAGGTTAGATCATTTTTAGCACTCCAATTATTTGTTCTTTTAGCAAATTTGAAAAAATCTTTCATGGTATTTTAGGGGGTCTTAAGAATGAAATAAATGTCCAACCTTATTTATATCTGTCTCGGTGTATAGAAATTCAAAAATGTATGTGTATATATAATTTGTATGCATGAGTGTCCTGTACAATAGAAACAATCAAAATGCATAGACATGTTTGTGCTTCTGCCATGTATAAGTAAAGGTAAAGTTTTCCCTTGACATTAAGTCTAGTTGTGTATGACTCTGGGGATGGTGCTCATCTCAATTTGTAAGCCAAAGAGCCAGTGTTGTCCATAGACGTCTCCTAGATCATGTGGCCAGTATGACTGCATGGAACGCCGTTACCTTCCCACCAAAGGGGTACCTATTGATCTACTCACATTTGCATGTTCTCGAACTACTAGGTTGGCAGGATCTGGGGCTAACAGCGGGAGTTGACCCCGCTCCCTAGATTTGAACCGCCGACCTTTCGGTCAGCAAGTTCAGCAGCTTAGTGGCTAAACCTGCTGCATCACCAGGGGGCTTTTCTGCCATGTATAGATTCCGTCTAATGAAGGAATGCACATTAATTCATATGTTTTCCTATATTTTGATCACAAGAGGCAAGGATGTGATTGTGGGGAGAGTTAAAATCTGAAATTATATTTAAGACATTATAGTTTCTGGAAAATTCTTTGGAAACCAAAATTAAGATATGGATCGATTGACCTGAAAATTAGGAAAATAAGAGGTGTTCAATACAAGCTTCTCATCTAGTTGCTGATTGTGTTTTGGAAACAGAACTTGTGCTGCTTTTTTCCTGGATTTTATTTAATGTACATCCAGTGGCCATAAGAACATTGTCACTTGTGTTTTTCTAGACACAACTTGCTGTAATGCAAGTACTGGTTTCAGAATTAATTGCATTTCCAACCCATGGTAAAGCTGCAAAAAACCACAAACAGATTGGCTTTAAAACATAAAGCATCTTATAGAACTGGAGCTCATGATTAGGTCCTCTGCCCTGCCCCATTTGTCAGTGAAAACACGTGAAGTTGACCCAGTATTATGATTCTGATTGCAGAGCTATTTCAGTGAGGAGCAATTAAAAGCTTTGAACAGCCACAGACAGATGGTAAATGACAAAAAAAGAGCCCAAATAGAAGCAGAATTCAAGAAGGCAGTGGAGTCGGCTGAGCAGGATAAGTCCAATTCCTGCAGAAGGGACATAACTCCTGTAATCAAAGTACGAATCGTGGATTACAGAAAAGAAGAAAAAGGAAAAGGTTGGTAAAATTGGAGCAGTAATCCCTTTACATAAGTGCATGGGCAGTAGACGTGCAGTAGAATGTAAAGAAATAATTCGATCTATACATCATTTAATTCCTATTACCTACCTGAAATCCTTATGCAACTTTTCATGTAAAAACTAACATTTTAAAAACAAAAATAATGTAATAACAATAATAACAAAAACAGTTACTATTTATTTATTACCCACCTCACCTTTTGGTTTGAAATGGGGCAAATATTTGTGTATAGCCAGGTATAAAGAATTTTGGACTTTTATGTTTTTTCAAGAATGGCGTATTTTGCAGTTGAAGGCTAATATTCTTTTATTTGTATGTATTATAGAAGTTATACTGACCATCTGGCGGCCATCTTCACATGTTTGTACCCTCCTCAAGGAAGGGTGCCGATACAGAGTTTTCCAGGTAGCAGCCTCGCCCTCCAAAGGCCGGGCAGAGTCCACAAGCCTCCAACTCACAGCAACCAAGAAAACTCAGTATCTGCAGCTGCCAGTAAGTATTATTATTACTGAAGATGTGAACTTGATTTGAACATCTGAACAAGCTTTATATTGTCGAAATTGTTCAAATTTTTCATTAGGCATCTCAAGAAGTTTTGTCCCAAGTTTACAGACCAAGGGAGTGCCTGAGGTTCAGTGAGCTACTGCTGGAGTCTTTCCAACCTGCTTGTTCTGAGGTGGACTTGGTGGGATATGTCGTTTCTCTCAGGAAAGGAACAGGTATGATACAAGCAGTATTCAGATTTATTGTTGTCACGTACCTTTAAGTCATTTCCAACCATAGCATTCTTAAGGCAAACCTATCACCAGGTTTTCGTGGCAAGATTTGTATAAAAGAGGTTTGTCGTTATCATCTTCTGGGGCTGAGAAAGTGTGACTTGCCCAAGATCACTCATTGGGTTCCCATGACTAAACAGGGATTTGCTCTCTGCTTTCCAGTCATAATTCAATGCTTAAACTGTAGCTTGCTGACTCCTAAAGAATCCTGTGGGTGTTTTCTAAATCTTTGCAGTGCTGTGTTATACTTTAGGTTACAATATATCATGTTCTTATATTGTTTAAGTTCTTTATCAGTGGTTCCCAACCTGTGGCCCGTGCACCACCAGTGGTTCGCAAGAACTAAAATATGGGTTGTAGGTTTTTTCGGGCTATATGGCCATGTTCTAGAGGCATTCTGTCCTGACGTTTTGCCTGCATCTGTAGCAAGCATCCTAAGAGGTAAAATGCATAGATGCAGGCAAAACGTCGTAGATGTAGGCGAAACGTCAGGAGAGAATGCCTCTAGAACATGGCCATATAGCCCGAAAAAACCTACAACAGTCCAGTGATTCTGGCCATGAAAGCCTTTGACAATAAACTAAAATATGGTCCACACCCATACTGTCATTACACTGTTGCAACTAGAGTGACTAGTCTCGCAAAACCCTCTTATAGGGCCGAGGCTTATTAAATATGGTTTTCTGTGGGCAAGCAGATGGCGACTACTGGATGGCATATCAGAAACTGGAGCTGATGTGGGATATCCAATGCAATTTTCTGAATCAGCAGCCCAAATAACCAAACCAAATCTAAAGTTGACCAAAAACTGATTCGTAACCTTTTTGATCCTAATATTGGAGAGTGGTCCCTGGTCAAAAAAAGGTTGGGAACCACTGTTCCATATTATGAATCACCAGAGATTGTCAGGTGTTGGCACATGACGTAGATGATGGGTGGAGGGATTCCTTATGAAGTTTGCAAATGATGCAGAATTGGAAGAAGTAAACTTTGCAAGAAATGAATACAATTTTATTCAGCAGAAACACATGCAGAATCCTACATTTAGGCCACGGAAACCACATGCACAGGTTCAGGCGAGTGATCCATGGCTCAGTAGTATTTCACATGAAGACAACCTTGGGGTTATTGTTGATCATAAACTGAACATGAGCCGGAAGTGTGATGCTGCAGCAAAAAAGGGAATGCTCTCTTCACCTGTATTAATCATTTCCAAAGTTGAAGGAAGCAAAAATCCCACTATGCTCTGTTCAGACTTCATTGGAAATACTGGCTGCAGTTCTAAGCACCTCATTTTTAAAAAGTAGATATGAAGAAAAGTTGAAACACTTCATTTTGATGAAGACTGAGTGGGTTTCATGGTCAAGTGGGAATTCGAATGCTATTCTCCAGTTGTATTTCCCACATATAAACTGTCATGGACCACAGTCTGCTTCATCTAATTCTGGCATCTTTTTATGTCCTTTGATTTTAGTTCAGAATAAAATTTTCTGTGGCAACAAATTGCTTGTATTTTGATGTGGGTGAAACATCAGGAGAGAATGCTTCTGCAACATTACCATACAGTCCGGAAAACTCACAGCAACCCAGTGCTTCCATTTTGTTTTCTATTGTTCTGAACATGAAATGTAGTTCAAATAGTAAATATTTAGTGGGTTGCTGTGAGTTCTCCAGCCTGTATGGCCATGTTCCAAAAGTATTCTCTCCTGACATATCGCTCACATCTATGGCAGGCATCCTCAGAGGTTGTGTGGGCGAAGCGTCAGGAGAGAATGCTTCTAGAACATGGCCATACAGCCTGGAAAACTCACAGCAACTCAGCAATTCCGGCCATTAAAACCTTCGGCCACACAGTAAATAATTTGTATTAGGTAGTAAAACTCTTGTTCTCGATTTCTTCTTTAGGTTTCTCTACATTAGCGTACTTGTCTGATAAAGCGCATCACCTTATAGCAGTCCACATCTTTACAGACCTTAGGCAGTTTGCAGTTGAAGACATAATTGTTCCTTCTATGTTGATCTCTGCAACAAACCTTCAGTGGCGACCTAAATTCTACTCAAATATCCCCAGTTTATTTGCTGGAGATCTCTCTACATTCTCTTCAAAGCCAAAGGAAACTCATCTTCAAGGAATATTTAATGAGCTGAGAAATATTGTAGAGGTAAAAATCATTAATTTACAAGGAAATTGGTATTTTAATTTTAGGGAATGTGCAAGTATTTATTGAAATGTTTACCTTATGAGGTTATTAACTCTGAAAACAATATCACATGAGGCAGAAAAATACGTAAATCATAGACTGGGATTCAACTGGTTTCCAAAGGGAAGGAGTTCAATATTTCTGACAGAAGCTTGTCTGCATGCCTTTATCAGAAGGATTTTGCTGTCTATGAAGTCTCTCAGGAGCTTGGAACCCTCCAAATAAAAACTAGTTATTTGCAAAAGGAAATATAACAGGTATTCTTTAGCATGATGCCCTCCAGAATAAATATTTGCAGAACAGCAGCTGCTCTGCTGATTTCCCTCAGGTACTTGTGGGACAAATGTGTGGATTTGCAGACCATGGTGCAAAGCTGTAATCCATGCTTGCAATTTTATCTGTGATCTGCAAGGTCATATATTTCTTCAGAGGAAGTAGACTACAGGGAAGGGTACAAAATGTTTGAGGCAAGCACAACAAATGAAACACGCCTCAATAATTCAGTGTGGCCAAGCCATTCCACAAACTATCCATTATAGTTAGGATGGAAAGTGCAATTAGTTAATCCAGTCATCATGAACGTGAATGTTAATGGTTAGACCCCTTGGCTGCTGACAGTTATAGAGTCCATAGGAAGTATTTCTGGCATCATAAGCGACATAATAAATTAGTTCTGGGATTTTGGCAGCTACCTCTGGCCTCTATAGCCTTGCACTCTAGATTATAAACTTGCAGTAGTTCATATATAGATTCTTGGGAAGTGAATTTGGCAGTAAATTCCTACCTCCAAATGTTGCTAGTCAATGTATTTCATTTAATAATAAATAATAATAAAACTTTATTTTATAGACCACCCTGTCTCCCTGAAGGGACTCAGGGCAGTTTCCAACATATATGGCAAACATTCAATGCCAGGAAAAATACATAATAATAAAGTGTATCAAAACAATGCACATTGTTTTGATACACTTTATTAGGAGTTAGGAGAAATAATAATAATAATAATAATAATAATAATAATAATAATATAAATAATAATATAATAATAATATTATAATAATAAAAAAGAAAAATCTGGAGTGTATTCTAAGTACACTGAACAAGCAAGGTGGGGATTTGCCCAGAACAGCCATAACTAGAACAGCCATAACTATAAACTTAATACCAAATAGAAATTAACCAAAAATAAAACTTGGCAACCTTAGTAAACATAACCACATAATATGAATTTAAACAGGATCATTAAAAAAAAAAAACTAGAACCATGATTAGAGGTAAAATGGTTCCCAACAGTTAACAGAGATTAATTCCAGTAGCTAGAAAGATTTAATATATTTAGGCGATGTTATATATCGAGACATATTAATCTTCCTTCTCTCTGTACGCCAAAGTGCATATATTCATTACCCCTTCCTCTCCATCTCTATCCCTCTCCAGGATTTTTTTTTTTTCATCTCCATAACACTGTGGGAAATTCTTCCAGTATGGGCCATTGCTAAACTTATGTCTCCATTTATTTAAACTATGGAGTTTTTTAAAAAACAGAATTAAAAAGTATTTCATACAGCAGGGCTTCTTAAAACCTTGTCCACTCGCAAAATCTTTCTGGCTGAATAATTTTTACATCATCCCGGGTATATAGATATATAAAATAGATATAAAATGACAATTTTACTTGTAATAAATCAGCAAGACTTGATGAACAGGCTAATTTTCTTTTTTATGAAATACAGCTGAAGTATTTTTTGCAGAATCCATTGTAAACACTGCACATTGTTGCGAACAGATTTGTGCAAATGGGTGGCATTTAGAAACCTTTTACTGTTGTCAAATTTTTCATGACCCCAACATTGAGCTAAGGGGACCCCATTTGAGGTCGGGACCCACTGTTTAAGGAAAAATGTCATGAGTACAGATAAACCTCTGAGCTTCAGAACTTGCTAACTGAAAAGTTGGCGGTTCAAATCTGAGGAGCGGGGTGAACTCCCACTCTTAGCCCCAGCTTCTGCCAACCTAGCAGTTTGAAAGCATGCAAATGTGAGGAGAACAATAGGTACCGATTCTGCAGGAAGGTAACGGGGCTCCATGCAGTCATGCTGGCCACATGACCTTGGAGGTGTCTACAGACAACGCCTGCTCTACAGCTTAGAAAGGAGATGAGCACCACCCTCCAGAGTCAGACACAACTCCACTTAATGTCAGGGGAAACCTTTACTTTATTAGTTACATCATAAACTCAGTACATTTGCTTAAAACTAAAATCTTGTGCTTTTAAAAAATACAAACTATTTTGTATTTTTCTGTAGAGTGATAGCTGCTTTCAGAAAGACGCAGAACACAAACTGGCAACTTTGCTCCAAAGAAATGTTCCACAAGTGATGAACTTGCCCAAAGAGCATGACATTGATCCCTTTCCTTCTCCTTGGAGATCTGATGCAGGAAATAAACATTTGGTGAGTTGCTCAGAAATAATCCTTTTATGGTCAGTGGACGCAATTCATGAAAATGGTGTGCTTTGCATTTTAATAAAATGCTTTAGTTATATGGTATTGCAGTTAAATATCTGGTAAAGATTTTTAATGGGACAGCTGTGAAGAACATCTTTAAGAATTACACAGACTTAATGGGTAGCATAAATTTAGGTATTTCTTTACTGAAAGATAGAAGAAAATTTAAACCTAATTGTGTGTCTGTCCATTTTTTTAAAATTAGATTTCAACTCCTAATACAGAGCTAAGGCTTCCAAGCCCTCTGTCAATCAAGAGGCCAAATACAAAGCTACCAGGTTCTCTCTGCTCAACAAAAATGAAAGCGGATCTACAGGAAACTCCTAAGAACCTTAAGAAGAGAAAAGCAATGGACCTGCTCAGTCAAGTCCCTTCCCCTCCACCAGTGAAGCCAATTTGCACATTTATTTCTCCATCTTTGAAAAGAGCATTTCAGCCTCCTCGAAGTTCTGATCCTCAACATGAAAGATCTGTGAAAAGAACTGAATCTACGGTTAGACAACCTGGAGTGAAAAGACCAAATGAGAGTACCTTTCAGCTTGAAAACTATTTTGTTGCTGATGAGGAGCTTGCCATGATAAATACACAAGCTTTCTTAAGCAACACTACAGAAGAAAAAGAAGCTGGTTTTACAGAGAAAATTGCACATACATCACACAGTGATTCATCCAATGGTTTTTCTCTAAGGAACTTTTCTTATCCTTCTGGAAAGGACAAGACTTGAGGGATGAAGGACTTCCTACAGAGGAGACAAATGAAACTTAAAAATTTGCTAGCTGTGCAGAGGTTGCAAAAGTTAAGAAATTAAAAAATACTAGTAAATGTACATTTTATATGTTTTAATATTGAAATTAAGTTTTTGCATTTTGAACATTGTAAATGTTTGTACAGATCCGTTAAGTATATTTTGCACATGATTCGACTCAAAATAAAGCTCTTTGAGAAAGAATGTTTGCACTATCAAACAGATTAAGGGAGCCTAACATGAATAATTGTAAATGTTATGCTTTGCTGAAATGTTACAGAAATGTTGTCAGTTCAGCAGTGATACTGAATTTAACAATTGTAAAGTATTTTTTCAAAATCCAGAAATGTTCCATTTTCCTGGAAGGAGATGATGAAAAATGCCTTCTGTGTTCTCAACAGTTACTTGTTGCTTTAATATTTCGTATAGTGGCTATGATCAAGCCCTCTAGCTATAGTTTGTTCCATGGGTGTTATCCAAAACTGAGAGGGAAGGCAAATGCTTAATATCTGAGAAACTGGGCGCTGTCTAATGTTTACAACAGTAGTTTCTAAGAAAGCCTATTAAAAAGCCAACATCCCTGGAAACTTGACTATAAATTATTACATTTATGGGTTGGCAGTAAGCATGTGCATTTGGGCAAAAAGGCGTGGTGTTTTCAAGTCCGTTTTCATCTGACCCCTCATTTCGTTTACTGAAAAGTTTCTCAAAAGAGGAGGGATGTTTCCGTTTTCATTTGGCAAAGATTTGGCCCATTGGCTACAATGGAGAGTGTTAAAGGCTCAATCCTCAGCCATTTGAAGGCCTATCTGAATGAAACCTACCTCAGTTGTAAAACCTATTGACAGCTGCAAGCCTGCCAAGTTTCAAAACAATTCACCAATCTACTGATTTTTAAGATTTACTTTTAAAAATAAGACACTACCTCTGAGGATGCTTGCCATAGATGCAGGCAAAATGTCAGGAGAGAATGCCTCTAGAACATGGCCATATAGCCCACAAAAAGCCTACAACAACCCAGTGATTCCAACCATGAAAGCCTTTGACAATACATACTGCAAGAATTGTAGTTGCCGCTTGTGTCCATTCTCAGCCAATCAGAGCATGGATACCACCAAGCTTTTTACTGGCTGAGCAACACAGAGAGAAAAACTTCAACTCCCATAATGCTCCCTATGGCTTGCTCCATAATGCTCCTATGCAAGTGCCACTGGGAAAGCGAGTTCCCAGGGCCCTCTCTAGAGGAGAAGGTAACTTTCCAAGAAAAACTTTCCAAGAGGCTTCTTCTGCTGGGGAGAGAAAAAGATGCTGCAGATCCTCCTGCCTCAGGTTTATTGTGGTCTTAACTCTTTCTGAAAATGAATCTGTTTCACTGGTCTTTTTGTCTGTCTCTTCCCCTTTCTGTTTTTTGGAAATTTAACAAAAATGGTCCTCAGAAAACTCCAAATCTTTTCGTTAACAGTTACTCTGGTCCAAGTCTAGATGGCAGTATAGAAAGCCACACCCAAATATATGCACAACTGCAATTCAAGTACAGACATAGGCTCATTTAATGGAACACACAAGCATTGATGCTAGATTACACCTAGTATTTTAAAATTACCTATAAAAATCTTGCTACTTTTCAAAACGCCAAGAGCAAGGAAAATACTGATTTGCAAACATTCATCTTAATTTTACTGTTTGTTACTCCGATTTACATCTGACTTTACAAGTAATTAGTTCTGTGAACTAGAGGTCAAGCTACAATGCTTACAGTTCACCCAGCATAGTGTCTTATTTTTTTCAAACAACCTCTGCATAATATGACAAGTCATCTTATACCATGAGCAATGATTGCAATCTGATAATATAGTTGAAGAAAGGAGTATTTCATAATTGTGTACAACTCCTTGGGCATTCTTAATAAATTACAGTCCCGTATCCTGTAAGCTTCACTGGGGGCAAGAGTCTCTAACTACAAATCAGTACCTTTTTAATGTTTTATGGCGATTTATTTGAAAAGTCCTCTGCACAGTTCAGGAGTCAGACAATTTCATTTGTTTTCAGCTTTTGCACAAAAACCACAATTAGTTCAATAAAAATGCAGTTCAGAACACAGTTAAAAATACCACAAACACATTATTTTGGCAATATATGAAATAGTTCTCTTCCTAGAGGAATGCAGATAGATTTTTCAGGCTGTCATATGAACTAAAAGACAACTAAGCATATTAAGATATCTGAAGTCACAGTATTAGATATCTGAAGTCACAGTATTTAGGGACTGGATGGATATGAATAATTTCACTATTCTAGACTTCCCCTTTAAAATTAAAATAAGAACTAGTTTCACATTGATTCAAACAAGTTCCTAGCAGAATTCAAAAGTTGGCAGTTATGAATTTGTGACCCTCCAGATGATGATGCCATGACTCGCAGTCCTTGTCCAGGATGAGGGATGATGGGAACTTTGGTCCAACATTAAAAGGATTGCAAGAGTACTAATCTCTGACATGAAGGCAACGACTAAGCAAGGATATAAGGCAGCAATTTTGGTTTGTGTGAATAATAAAGCAGTCAAAGACACAAGAGAAAAACACAACAAGAAGGCACATAGCAGGTCTAACAAGTTCAGTTACACTATTTTTTTTAATCCCTGATTTTTAACATTTGCACTGGCTTCTTTTACCTATTTACCTTTAATATATGCTACTACACTTGAGAGGTATACCTTGTTTGTTCAAGGGAGAAAAGGCTACACAATGTGTTGATGCACTTGCCCTGAGTAGTTAAAATGGTTGCAAACGAGCAGGGAAAGGGGTGGGTTAAGAAGGAATCATCTCTCAGGTAAAAGAAATAGTCCAGATAATGACAACTAGTGTTGGCAAGAACGAAAATGTGTATCATAGCAGAGAAAGCAGATGGCAAACTGAAAAGCAAAAGAACTCTAAAGAACACACAATACTATGGCTTGCATTCTATTTAGTAATTAACAGAAGGATTTGGGCCTATGAAAGAAAAGTAAACAAAATAAGAAATGTAGACAGACATTGCTCCCAGGAAGGGATAACAGCCCTTCCACACAACCATATAACCCAGAATATCAAGGCAGGAAATCCCACAATATCTGCTTTGAACTGGGTTATCTGAGTCCACACTGCCATATATTCAAAGCAGATAATGTGGGATTTCCTGCCTTGATATTCTGGGTTAAATGGCTGTGTGGAAGGACCCCCGATAATATAAAAAGCACATAAAAATCTTGGTGTTACAGTGGGATGAATCCAGACTGAAGTGCCCGCAGTTCCCATTCATATGAATAGGGTTAACTTCTGACTTTCCTCAATACGACTAATTTCAACAAACAGGCTATTATACCTCAAAAATGTTTCACAATAAGTACCACCACTGGGAAGAAAAGAGTATTAATGAAAATCGGGAGGGATAGGTTTGAATCCTAAAAACACTTATCTAAGCATCAATGGGACGTGCTCTTAGTGAGCAGGAGAAGAATTGCTCTTTGACTTTTAATTGTCATGTTAAACTAAGATCATTGTTAGAATATTAATATTACCCGATACAGCATTTCTGCTTCTTATCAGAAATTCTGAGTACAAAGCAGATGGCTATCAATGTGTGCCTTTTCAAGAATCCAAAATTTAAAATGGAATGATTTGAAAATCTGGTCTAGTTCAGTAGAAAAATACAAATATTGAAAGTTTAAAATTGAAAAAAAAATTTTTTAAAAAACTTAAAACAATTCAATAAAAACTCTGAAAGACCCTGTAGAAATCATTACTTCTGTTAAATGATCTTCCATTATTAGCTCTTTGGTTTGGGAATGTTGAATTTAGCTGGGAGCAGCCTCTGCCACTGTTTGTGCCATAGGACCCAGTGAAATGTCGGGCTGGTTCTTCAGAATGAAGGGCAATATGAAACGTGACATCATGTTCATACTGTTCTTTCATGCGTTGTATCGTCTCTCGTGGAACGCCATGACTATTCCGTCTATAAAACAAATGTACAAAAATATACTAAGATATCTGTAATTCACACAGAAAAGCAGATAAACCCAGAGACTGCATACAGTATGACCTCTGAACCCATGGAATATGCACCCATGGTTTCACCTATTCACATCCAACAAATAATAATAATAAGCTTCATTTGAATCTCCCCAAAGGGACTCAGGGCAGCTCACAGAAAGCGCTCAATAGTGCAACAATATACAAGTACTACAAAATACAAGTATAAATTAATAACAATAACATTGACCCAGTTATACTTAAAACAGTAACAAAACCCCTATTGGTTTAAAAAATAGTTTTAAACCCAGCAAGCTATGAAAATTGTGGCTGTATACAATAAAGTGCATATGTGAAACAAATCCCTAATCCTCAAATGTAGTTATAAAGGTTATAATCACTAAACGTGGTCAAAGGCTTGTTTAAAAAGCCATGTGTTCAGGTGTTTGGGGAAAACTTGGAGAGTGGGGGCTACCCTTATCTCTTTGGGGGGGGGAGCATTCCAAAGCCAGGAGCCACCACCAAGAAAGCCCTCTCTCTTGGCTCCATCAACTGCATTTGAGATGGAGGCAGGATTGAGAAGAGGGCCTTCCTGGCGAATCTTAGGGCCCACACCAGTTCATAGAAGAATATGCAGCCGCAAAGATGGGTTAGACTCGAACTATCATATGGGGCAGCATTTCCCATCCTGGGGGTTGGGACCCCTGGGGCGGTCGCAAAGGGTTGTCAGAGGGTCACCAAAGACCATTAGAAAAAAACAGTATTTTCAGTAGGTCATGGGCGTTCTGTGTGGGAAGTTCGGCCCAATTCTATCACTGGTGGGGTTCAGAATGCTCTTTGATTGTAGGTGAACTATAAATCCTAGTAACTACAACTCCCAAATGTCAAAGTCTGTTTCCACAAACTCCACCAGAGTTCACATTTGGGCATATTGAGTATTCAGGCCCCAATCCATCATTGAGTCTCTGGATGTAGGTGAACTGCAACTCCAAAACTCAAGATCAATCCCCACCAAACCCTACCAGTATTTTCTGTTGGTCATGGGAGTTCTGTGTGCCAAGTTTAATTCAATTCCATTGTTGGTGGAGTTCAGAATGCTCTTTGATTGTAGGTGAACTATAAATCCCAGCAACTACAACTCCCAAATGACAAAATCAACCCCCAACAACCCCACAATTATTTAAATTTGGGCATATCATGTATTTGTGCCAAATTTGGTCCAGTGAATGAAAATATATCCTGCATATCAGATGTTTACATCATGATTCAGAACAGTAGCAAAATTACAATTATGGAGTAGCTTAAGGGGAATGCTGGAAATCTTCCTCATGCTGCTTCATCTTTCTGGACCTTTGTGCAAACTATGTGTCACTACATTGGCAGAATGTCATGCTCTACCAGCGTCAAGCAAGATCTTGGTAAACGAGGCCACAATTTTATAAAATACCAGCTTAGCTCTGCCAAGTCAACTAATCTTTTCCTTTTTTTCAAATAATTTGCTTGATTAATTATTGCAAAACAATTGTACCTGACTAGTTCCCGAACATTGAATTTCCAGCGTGTATCTGGTTCTCGAAAGATAACTTCATAGTTGTTTTCACGTGCCTGAGGTGAAAGATTGCAGAGTTTAGATGTAGTTACTGTTGTCACTGTGTTTATTTACATCCCATCTTTTCCCGCAATACTGGGACCCAAGGCATTTTCCAAAATTAAAACCAAAACAAGATTAAAAACATATAAATCAAGGATTATGTAAATGCAAGTGTCTGTCTTACATGTATTTGTAGTCCAATGAGTTAAAGATCTTTCCCCAGGAGTGGGGTGATTCTAATTTGTCTTTTCTTAAATTTGAAATGGTTTTGAACTCAATTGGTCCATTGGGTAATTTCCAATATATGTTATTACTTCATCGTATAATTTGGAAAAAAAGCAAACAATTATTCTACAGAGTTTATTACACATTCAAGGAGAGACAAACTACACCTATCACCATCCAAATAGGTAAAAATCCTGAATTTATGCACTGCAAATACATAGGTTGCTGGCTTACACAATCATGCCATATCTGTGCATTATCATGAATAGATAACTGGAAAAGAAAGTTTACATTAAATTGTTGGAGCCTAAATTAAAATTTCCTAAAATTTATGATCTTGGTATGAACTCAAATTTTATAAAATAGCTTGAACGTTCCTAAGTGTAAGCACTTAGCAGAAAAATAGTCCAAAATAATATGGTCATGCCATATTATGGTATAGTAAAGGTGAAGGAAAAAGTTTCCCTTGACATTAAGCCTAGTTGAATCTGACTCTGGGAGTTGTTGCTCATCTCCATTTCTAAGACGAAGAGCTGGCACTATCCGTAGATGCCTCCAAGTCATGTGGCCACCATGACTGCATGGAGCGCCATTACCTTCCCGCCTAAGCGGTACCTATTGATCTATTCACATTTGCATTTTTTCGAACTGCTAGGTTGGCAGAAGCTGGGGCTACCAACAGGAGCTCACTCCATCCTGTGGATTCGAACCACTGACATTCCAGTCAGCAAGTTCTGCAGCTTAACGGTTTAACCCAATGCGTCAACATGGCCCCTTGGTATGTTGGCATTCTCTAAATCTCAAAATGGTTTTATACAGTCTTCTAGTTTGTGTTAGTATGCTATCTTTCACGTAAGATTTTCAGTGATCAAAATGATGGTCACAGGTTAGGAAAACATGATGGCAAAAAGTATCTAATGCTGACATGGAGTCTACACAAAATTCCCTTCTCTTGGCAGTGACTAAATATGTCACTTCTGAAGAAGCAGATGAGTGAATTTGGCATGCTGACAAATTCTTTGCTCACAAAACAACAGGTTATGAGTTATGTAGGGCAAAACTATTGTCCTGTTAATCACACAGCAGCCATCAAAGTGATATTAAACTATATTAAGTGAATGGGGAGAAAAGAGAAATCAGAGAGCTACCATTCAAGGGAAAAATAAAATATTTCATTAGAAGTGGCAGACACTGTCCAATTATGTGCTCGTGACAGTCAAAACTAAAAAAAAAATCAGGTCAGTATTCCAATGGTTTCAATCCAGTTTACCTGTCCTCTATGAGCCAGCTAGGAGGTTAAGATCATCTGGGGAGGCCCTGATCTTGGTCCTGCCTTTGCAGGTGAGATTGGTAGGGACGAGATACGGGGCCTTCTCAGTAGTGGCCCCTCGGCTATGGAACTCCCCAAATGAAATCAGATCAGCACCCTCCCTCCTCACCTTCAGGGAAAGGCTAAAGACGTGGATGTGGGATCAAGCATTCAGTTAGTAACTCACTAGAGAATTATGGAATAGTGCAATGACAATTTGGAATGGCCATGGATTATGATTTTGGATTTTAATAACTGTTTTAAGGTTTAATCTGTTTTAAATTATTGTTTTAATAAATACGTTTATATTGTGTTATATATATATATATATATATATATATATATGTTTATGCAGCATCAAATCGTTGCCTATATATGTAAGCTCCCTTGAGTCCCCTACAGGGTTGAGAAAGGCGGCTTATAAATAGGTTAAAAAAATAAAAACAAATGACCACTTATTACAATTTAAGTGTTATATTCTCCCCCATAGTGCTACAATCTGGGGGGAAATATTCCTGTTTCTCATGAAACAAACAAGTTAAGAAGACGATGCTCATTTCAAAAAAGAGAAATGTATGTATAGGTAGCTGAAGATTTTGCCAATGAGGGAGACATTGCTGGACCCAAATCGTAAGACGTTCCCTCGGTGAATGCTTAGCTTCCCAAAGGTTGTTGGCAGCTCCAGCCAAGGATCTTGAGATAGAAAGACTTTTAAAAAGTACCATATATTGAATCAGATTCCGACACAGTATATGGCACTTTCATATTTGGAAACATGGTGATCCCATGAGACTATGCTAATTGTGTTGGAAGCAGTGGAATTCAGAATTTTCAACAGGAGATATTGTAAAATGTCAGAGGTCTCATTTTTCATTCCTTCCAGGACTGCCATAACCCTCACTTTGCAACGATTTACTGCAATGTTTCTCAACCTGTGGTCCGTGGACCACCAGCGGTCCACAAGAACTAAAATATGGTTCACGGCCTCACCGTTACCACATCGTTGCTATGAGAGCGATTGGTCTCATGAAACTCTCTTATAGTGCTAAGGCTTATTAAATATGGTTTTCTATGGGTGAGCAGATGGCAACTACTGGATAGCATATGTTCTGTATCAGAAACTAGAGCTGATGTGGTCTATCCAATGCAATTTTCTGAATCAGCACCCCAAATAACCAAACTGAATCTAAAGTTGTCCAAAGACTGATTCATAACCCTTTGGGTACTAATGTTGGAGAGTGGTCCCTGGTCAAAAAATGGTTGGGAACCACTGATTTACTACATGGTGGAGTGCAAGGGCATCAGAGGAGTGTGGCTATTTCTCTATAGCAGATGCAGGACATCATCTGCCAGGACCTTCAGGAGTTTCAATGAATTATATCAGTATTTTGCATCTGATTATTAAAGACACAGACAGACTACACTTTGATTCTTCCACTGGTCACTAAAAGGTTGAAGAGTGTGGGCACCAGTAGCTAAAAGATGAATTCTATGAGAATTCCAAACTTTACATGACCAAAAAAAAGACCTTCAAAGGAACAAGTTCAAATTACTTGTATACAAGTGTCACTACCAGGATGCCAGCCAAGGAACAACCACATCAAAAGTGAGCACAATGCCAGCACTTTGGGGCTTGTACTGTATCTGGGCAGACATATTTCCTTAGCACTATAAATTGTTCCTCAGAGACCTCAATGCCCTAGATATTAATAGAAAATGGCATAGACTAAGATGCCCAAAAGTCCAATTTTGATTTAAATTGGCTCAAAATCAATCCAATTGTGGCATGAAAATGTTCTAGGGGATGAGAAATGGAATCTATGCAGAAGAAAGGGAGTATTTCAAAAATTTTAAGTCCATTATCAATTCTTGTAGCTCTTGTAACCAGAGCCGGGGACAGTGTCACCTGCTCATCTCTTGAACCCATGGGCAAATATTAGAAATGATAATAGGTTATAGGTTTCCCTACCATTATCACATATGGCTTCATTTCCCAAGCGTGGATGTTGGTATTATCAATAATGACTGGGGATTTCCCATTCTTCATTGCTTTACGAGCTGTAACATAATAATGTCAACATTTTACAAGACCAGACAATCTGTGGACCCCGTCAGATGTCATAAATCAAGTCTCCTTAAATGTTACTGACACTTAATTATGCAGCAAATACAGCAAATGAGTGCCAATAAAGGCCACTACAAGGCATACAGGGACTACCATTCCAATTGACTCTAGACACTCGTGGCTTACATTTTCTGTTTCCAACAACATAAGATCATTTCCTGTTTCACTTAAAGGCCTTCAGAGACTACAAGAAGCTATGTGTATGTTTGTGTGTACATTGTATGGTTTGTTTTTCTTGGAAATAGCAACACTATTTCCTCCACTAACTGTTTGTAAATGTGTATAATTGTTCACCTATATTGTACATTTTGGTTTGCCAGTTTGACTGTACCTCTTTGGTTTGGGAGGGGCTTCAGACACAGTACTCCATTCTGTATGCAGTTTGCATCAGACATCTGTGGAACTGGATGCAGGTTTGTTTTCGGACTTCTATGTTACAAGTCTGCTTACTACTTCATTGGAGGTGGATCTTGGTGCTCATGTACTTGAGTGAGTACAGATATGATTAAATACATTTTAAAGACTATGTGTCTGTATTGTGAATATATACAAGTTTGTTAGTAAACAAGATGGTATTTTTCAAAGAAGAGACTCTGTTTTGTCTCTTGAGTGAATGTTTTAACTAAGAGTTTTGAAGGGAGTGTATTTTTTTGGCAACAACAAATTACAACTGCAAATTCTACTTCAAAGAAACATCAATCCTCTGCTAACCAGATATATTTTGTAGTGACCTGTCTTTATCATTGGCTGTTTAAAGACATGGTTCTTCAGTTTAACAGCTGAGATACCTGTGTGTTATTACATTACTACTTTATGAATATCCCTTCTAACAAGGTCATACTTTTCTTTTGACTAGTGGATTTCAGGTGGTCTCTATGTTTATGGAGATTCACATTTGCCAAATGGAGGTGACATCATTTTTACCTTTGCAGTAAGGTTATGGCACACTGGAATTTCCAATAGATTATGGAATTTCCAATAGTTTTAGGAGAGAATTATGCTCCCTGGAGGCTTCCCAAGGCACAATTCTATGTTCTTTTAGAAGGGTGATCTTGATCTTAAGGGCTCAAGAGCTCCAAGTGCCAGAGGAATTGTCTTAGTGGACCAAATCTAGATGAAGTATTTCCACCCTTGTTTTAGAGAAATGTTCCCAAATGAATTCAATGGTTTCATTAAGGTAGACATGACAACAAAATTCATAGAGCTGCAAGAGGCCACCAGGCTCATCTTATCTGAGAGGCAATTCTATGTTGTAGTACTAAAACTGTCCTGAGTTGTGGCCATTTGCTCTTTGGGGTTAGCAAAAAAATCATGCTTCCTATGGCCAAGTTATTGTGTAATGACAGGGAAGGAAAAACTTGGGAGAAAAATAAAAGTATAAAATATTATGGTTTGTTTAGTAGCAACAGTTATGCTTCAGTTTTAGTATGAAGCTTCAGGGCATCCATTTGTCTTTTGGATTTCCCATAGCAGCAGCAATGTAAACAGATTAGAGAAGAACATATATTGGCTATCATTCTGCTAGGAATGTTTATGACAGGAAAAAATCAGGGCCACCTAACATCTTCCAATGAAGGATCCCCCCAGGCAGCAACCAGTCAGGCTTTGAAACTGCAAGGCTATTCAATGCTAATCAAGGTGGCCAATTGCAACATTTACACCTGCCTCAAATGGACAAGAGTTCTTTCTCCCATCCTGGACATTTCACAGATATATAAACCCAATTTTGCTAGTTTCAACAGACCTCACAACCTCTGAGGATGCCTGCCATAGATCTGGATGAAACGTCAGGAGAGAATGCTTCTGGAACATGGCCATACAGCCCGGAAAACTCACAGCAACCCAATATTTATGATATTTATAGTACTGTGGATCTTTTGAATACATATATAACACTTTTGCAAGCAAATATAGCATTTTTCACAACGAAATTGGATACATCCAGTTTAGGTTTTAATCAATTTTGAATGTCAGTTTGAGAAAAGCAAATAATGCAGAAGCAAGAGGTGGATACATTCTTATCCTTCAGTTGTTACTCTTTGACTTGTGTACCCTGAACCCTTTTCCAGCACCAAGAAGAACAGTACTTGCCTCTCTTCTGGTTCCATTTATGTGCATCTTCTAGAGCATAAGAATCAAACTCATAGGTCCCATCCTCTGTGAAGAAGTAGTCATCCGTGCTAAAAATGACTGCACTTGGAAATTCATGTTTCAGTTGCCTGCACGTAAAATGGGGAAAGGAGAAGTAAGAATGCATACTTTCTGTCCCTTTCATTTTTCAGTTCCCCCTTCCCATGAATTTTAATTTGAAGCTAAATGATCCCAATACACTTTTAATGAAATTCTTAAACTAAAAGAGAACTCAGAGGGACACTGAACCACAGAACAATCAGCCTCTTAATTGTAGGAAGGAACACCAAGTGTGAAGTGAGGTGTTTGGGATTTATTTAACAGTTTTTATCCCCATTAGGTTGTTTCTTTGGTCTGTCACTTGCTTTTGAAAGTAATGAATAGAAATGTATGCATAACTGACAAGAAAATCATGATATTCAGTACCCAATGTAGAATTTTATTTATCAATTTTTCTCTAGTTTTCTATTATTACATCTCTTTTATCATCAGAATCTTACACCATAAGCATGAATATCTATATTTTCTAAATTTAACATGGGAAAAATATCTAACTGGACTGAAAATTAAGATCTCAGTATGTGGGAAAGGGAAAGAGGGCTTGTAGGAAAATTACTGTTTCTAGCAGGACGGTCTTTAGAAAAGTACAGAACAGGTGGCATGTAGTATAAAACTGTAAGAGCTGCATCCGAAATTCTCTCTCAGTGTACTTAATATTACCTTTGTAGAGGAAATAGCAGTAGTGATCTGGGGAAAAGGCTGAACTGAAAAACTCGCAATATTTTTAGTTTCTTATGGGCTTTAGCACAGAAGATTAAATCACCAGCTGCTGTAAATCTTGTCAGTTGAAAGGCTGCCAGTTTGAAGCCTGGGCCAGGGTAAGTTCCTGACCTTTAGCCCAGCTTCTGCCTACCTAGCGGTTTGACAACAAATGTGAGTAAATACATACGGCTTAAAAGCGAGGAAGTATTCTGAGGCACCCATAAGGAATGCCACCAATTTGATCAAAGAAAGAAAGTTTACGAACAAGTTCTTTGGCAGGGAGATGGAACAACAGCACCCCCATTGCCAGAATCGAGCACAAAAGGCCTCCAAAGATGAAGATGGGAAAAGCTGATATATACCTCTATCTATGTATAATTTGTTGGAGCATGCAAGAAATCAGTTAGTGTGTATGTATCAACTGTAAAATATGATGCATGAAGCTTATTGGTTGGGCTATGGCTGGGGAGCAAGCTAAGCCTGGCACTTTTGGTTACTGTTACATTTTTGTTCAGGCTTGAGCTATGAACGTGCAGAGAGAAGAAAGAGAGAAACAGACAGAGAGACAATTTGGACTGTGCTCTTGCTTCCTGAGCTGCTAAAGGAGTTACTCCACATGGACAAAGAAATACCATTTTAAATCTCTCATAAAAGGACATTATGTGAGTTGATGCAACTGATCACATTGTACATATGTTCTTCTGAACTACGGAGAGTAAACTACTTGATATTTACTGTTCACCGGCATGGCATATTTTCTTTCTCTGTCAAGGCAGTCTGCGGGCTGATCAAACATGAACTACACATGGTTTATTTAACATTACACCACATAATTGTCTGTCTTGTTTGTATATAAACCGGCATTGAATGTTTGCTGCATATATATGTTCTGTGATCCATCCTGAGTCCCCTTCAGGCTGAGAAGGGTGGGATATACTGTAAATAGATAAATAATCTTTTTCAGCATAGCAACAGAAGTAGGCCTTATTTTGGAGCACAGAGAAAACCCAACAAAATTCATGAGGTTGTCATATGTCAGCAGGCAACTTGAAGGCATGTGCACAGAGACAAATGAAAGTGCACATTGGCAAAAAATGCAAAGGATGGAGTCATTGTCTTCATGTTCATTCATTTCTAAGTCTTCACCTGTTTAAATATTTTTGTTCACAACACACACATATATATACTAAGTTATGAACACTAAGTACATGACTTTCAGGTTTTCCCTAACTCTTTCACACCATCTACCTTTGTTACATGTTGGTTGATAACAAACACAAACTATGGTTTTGAGAAGGGATGAATACCTAATCATTTGAGAATCGGGGCTTTTCCCTTCTGTATACAACTTCCTTGATTACAAATCCAATCATAATGTCATGCCAAGTCCTTGCAAATGAAAAACATGCAGGATGTGGACTTCAGCATCACTGCTGTTCAGTTTCAAAACATTCATAGGATCTTCCTGCAAGGATATAAGTCAAAAGGATAAATGTAATCTCCATTCAAAGGTTTTGAACTATCGTAGAATATTAAATAAGCTATTTTTTAAAAGAAAGAGTCACTATTTTCCCAACCATGCCAAAATCTACCTAGCAATTCTAAAGCTTTGCCAGTGTGTTTACATGGGACAACATTTTGGGCAATTCTAGTGTCTTTTGTAATCCAGAGCTATTCCCACATGCTGTGCTACCCTTTAAGACAATGCACTGGGCTGAGGGTAAATAAGGAACGGCTTGTATAAAAGAGTTGTAGATACCTCATTACATAAGCATGCAAACAAGACAACCATTGGCAGAATCCAGTTATCCCATAGTAAAACTATAGCAGGATACTGGCCACAATATCATGAAAACCTTGCTTTAAAAAATTACAAAAACCTAAGAGAGAACCTTAGATGTCCAAAACATCTGGAAGAGCACAGTTTGAGAAACACTGGACTAAGGGAAACTGTTGGGAGTGGACCAACACAGAAAGAAGCTCCATGATGTTTCTCTTTCCAGGTTGCAAATAGTTCAGGCTATATCATTTACCAACATCCACTTCAGCTGAGATATCTCACTCACAGGTGGGATGGCTCAAATTAAGGAAGTCTACAAGTATTACCATGGGCTAAATGCCAGATATTGACTTCTGGTGGATCGATGGTGCATGCAGATGTAAGGGAGGCTCTACACTAGTATGCAATCTCATTTAAACATTATTTTAGTGGAGCAGTAAAGATGTAGGCATGGAGTCACAGTTATATGAGATACATAAACCAAATGGATAACTATAATAGCAAGCTCATAAAGATAACAGAAGCCTAAATCCTATGGCAGTTATAACATTAACAGCAGCTACCCTTCATGTGACAGCAAAAGTGATTTAGGACAATGTGAGCTACTCAGCAGGTTAATAAGTAATATAAAAACAATGGGAAAATGATGTGGGTTCAAATCACCAATATGATACTTTGATTACAACTTCCAACATTCCTTGCCATTGGCTATGCAAGACTCCTGGGAGCTTTCTTTTTCATGTCAGGAGTGACTTGAGATGCTGCAAGTTGCTTCTGGTGTGAGAGAATTGGCAGTCTGCAAGGACATTACCCAGGGGACATCCAGATGTTTTACCATCCTGTGAGGGGCTTCTCTCATGTCCCCAAAATGAGAAGCTGCAGCTGACAGAAGGGAGCTCACCCCGCTCCCCAGATTAGAACCACCAAACTTTCAGTCAGCAGTCCTGCCAGCACAAGAGTTTAACCCATGATGCCACTGGGAGCTACAGTCCTAGTACATCTGAGGAAGAAATAACTATATGTGTATGCTAACACTCTTAAGTACAAAAGGTGTGCAGGAGATTGACTCTTGTAAACAAAGAAGGCTATAAGTAACTGTTCTCTTACCTCAAATTTGATCATGACAGTAAAAGTATTTATCAAGTGATTTATTTGATATGAAGAATTTGGGATGTATGAGAGGAATTCTACAGGAGCAAATGCAGTGGAAGAGGTATAAACATCTGAATCTTGTGGCACACTTGATTGGGCGTAAATTTTCATAGATTACAACCAACCATAATATGATGAAGACTCTGAGGCTCAATGTGATAAAATAGGCTACAGTTTATGGCAGTTTATACCAAGTAAAATGTATTAGTCTTTAAGGGACCATCTGTGGTTTTAATCATGTGTAAACTTGAACATTTCCTTCTGAAGTCAACAGACAATAAACAGTACATTATTTCCGGGAGAGCAATCATGCTGAGCTTTTCTCTTTAAGGCAGTGGTTCTCAATCTGTGGGTCCCCAGGTGTTTTGGCCTACAACAACCAGAAATCCCAGACAGTTTACCAGCCGTTAGGATTTCTGGGCGTTGAAGGCCAAAACATCTGGGGACCCACAGGTTGACAACCATTGCTTTACTATCAGTATAGCACATTTTGGACACAGGTCCAGGTATTCGATCAGCCAAGTGAGCGAGAAGGACCCAATGTGTCCTTTGTTTAATCTTTGTTTTGTGTGTGTGTGTGTGTGTGTGTATGTATGTATGTGTATGTATATATGTGTGTGTGTGTGTGCATAATGAGTACCTTAAAAACAAAAGAACCAATGAATGAAATCACACCAAATTTGGCAACAAAATGTCTCACAACACAATGAGTGACCATCACTCAAAAATTACGATTTTGTCATTTGGGAGTTGCAGCTGCTGGGATTTATAGTTCACCTACAATCAAAGAGCATTCTGAACTCCATCAACGATGGAATTGAACCAAACTTGGCACACAGAACTCCCATGACCAACAGAAAATACTGGAAGGGTTTGGTGGGCACTGACCTTGAGTTTTGGAGTTGTAGTTCACCTACATCCAGAGAGCACTGTGGACTCAAACAATGATGGATCTGGACCAAACTCGGCACTACCACTCAATATGAGCCCAAATATGAACACAGATGGAGTTTGGGGGAAATAGACCTTGACATTTGGGAGTTGTAGTCACTGGGATTCACAGTTCACCTACAATCAAAGAGCATTCTGAACCCCACCAATGACAGAATGGGGGCAAACTTCCCACACAGAACCCCCATGACCAACAAAAAATACTTAAGGCCATCCAGTCCAACTCCCTTCAGCAGAGCAAGAAAACATAATCAAAACCCTCCTGTCAGAGAGCCATCCAGCCAGAGATATAGATATATATGATTCACACACACACACACATGACAGATTATAGTATCATAGATTTGAAAGGGACTCCTAAAGAAGGACAATGATATGTTGCATGTTCCTGAATAGGCAAACTAGACAATCTCTACTTCAACACTGACAAAGAAACAACAAGAA